ATTCTATTCTATTCTATTTTCTATTCTATTCTATTTTCTTTTCTATTCTATTCTATTTTCTATTCTATTCTATTTTCTATTCTATTCTATTCTATTCTATTTTCTATTTTATTTTCTATTCTATTCTATTTTCTATTCTATTCTATTTTCTATTCTATTCTAGTCCAGTCTCTATTCTGTTCTATTTTCTGTTCTATTCTATTCTAGTCTAGTCAAGTCTAGTTTCTATTATATTCTATTTTCTATTCTATCTTTAGTCCTTTCTATTCTTTTCTCTATACGATTCCCAATTCTGTTCTATTTTCTATTCTATTCTATTTTCTATTATGTTCTAATTTCTATTCTATTCTAGTCTAGTCTAGTCTAGTTTCTATTATATTCTATTTTCTATTCTATTTTCTGCTCTTTTCTATTCTTTTCTATTCTTTTCTCTATTCTATTCCCTATTCTGTTCTATTTTCTATTCTGTTCTATTTTCTATTCTAGTCTAGTCTCTATTATATTCTATTTTCTATTCTATTTTCTAGTCTTTTCTATTCTATTCTCTATTCTATTCCCTATTCTGTTCTATTTTCTATTCTATTCTCTATTCTGTTCTATTTTCTGGTCTAGTCTAGTCTAGTCTAGTCTCTGTTCTGTTCTATTTTAGAGTCCTAATTCCGTTCTATTTTCTGTTCTATTTTCTCTTCCATTTTCTTTTCTTTTCTATTCTATTCTATTCCTTTCTTTTATCTTCTATTCTATTCATTTTAGCAATCAGATTAGATCTTTTTCTCTCCTTTCCCCTCCCCTCCCCTTCTCTGCGCTATCATTATCACTATCCATGTTGGCACAAAGCCATTACACTCAGTCACTATATGCCTGGCACATGACACACACACAGCTCCTCTTTCTTTACAGTTGCCACCTGCGCAGTACATTACAGTAGCTTTAACAAAAAGAACTTTTAGAACAAAGGAAACTGCCTTATCATACAGGCAGCCCTTAATTTAACAACGGGGGGTTGTTAAGAGCCCTCGTGTAATGAATTTCTCCATCATTCTTTCTATCTCATCTCTTTTTTTTTTCCTTTCCTTTCCTCTCCTACCAGGCTAAACTGCCCAATTTGAAGGAAGTGGACGTTCGCTACACTGAAGCTTGGTGAAAAAAACAAAAAACCCTCGTGGCGCATTTGTAGAATTTTTTTCTTTTGGACGGGGAGAGAAGAGAATGATTTCTAAACCATTAAAAGAAGAAGAAGAAGAAGAGGAGGAGGAGGAGAACTTAGACTTTTGGCGTTTGCCTGTAGAGAGCAGGTTCTGAGGACATCCATATTTTTAGGTGCTCCGTGTGTGAAGTAGTGAAGTATGATTTTTTTTTCCTCCCCCGAGTTGGATATTCACACACCAGACCTAATTCTTTCAGCTTCGTACTCTCGAATTCAACATCTTTTAAATTAAGGGGTGGGAAGTAAAGAAGGCAAGACTGAATAGCCTGAAGAAGATTTGGGAAGGGGTGGGTGGGTTTGGGGGGGACGGGACGGGGCGGTTTGCTCTTGGTTCTGGTTTGCTCTTTTTTTTTTTTTTGTACTTTTTTTAAACTGTGTGTCAAGGTTTCCCCCCCCCCCTTTTTTTTTTACACAAGAATATACACCGGATTTTTCAGTTTCCTTTTAACCTTGGCCTTTTCCGTAGATGCTTTCCCATTTCTTCTGTTCTTCAGCGAGAAATAGAAAGGAAAAAAAATGAAGAAGAAAAGAAGAACGTAGGCGAAAATCAAGAGCAGAAGCATTCGCAGCAGCTCATACAATTTTCTTTTCTTCCCTCATTCATTCGTTCGTTCGTTCCTTTCAATCATTATGCAAAGTGATGTTCTTGTATATACAATTTACATAATACGCCTATTTAAAAAGAAAAAAAAGAAAAAAGGAAGAAAGTTCAGAAAAAAACAGGTCTGGGACCTGTCTTTTATTTATGAATTGTTAATCCATTGTTTGTTTCATTTTTGTTTTGTTTTGTTTTGTTTCGCGTAGAATACCGTATAAACAACTTTGGCGTCTTTTGGTGGTTGTTGTTGCTCTCAGAAAGACAGAACAAAAGAGAATTCCCCTCCTGTAATATATAAACCCTTGGCCCAGCCCATCTTAACTTTTTTTGGTTTATATACGATTCGAATTTATTCAACCAGGTGAAAAGAATATACTTACATAGACCTGGTAATGTGTGTGTGTGTGTGTGTGTGTGTAGACACACACACACACACACACAAACACATGCATACACACGAGCAGAACACTGGGTTGGCTGTTGGGAATAATTTTTTGAATTCCTAAAGCCGCATTTTCAGATTATGCTAGGTGTAGAAAGGAGGGGCAAGCGAAACACTTCCATTTATGTATGTGATTGTTTCTAAGGTTAGAGAAAATGCTTAAGTTTTTATCTAGGAGTGAAGATCAAGCGGTCAGCCATTTGCATTAGGATTTGTCAAGCTCTGATTTCTGTTTTATGTCCAAAATTTCACCTTTCCATGCATCCCCTTTTAGGGAGATGTTTCCCCCCCCCCCCAAGATTGGCTCATGTTCACCCTCCTCAGCATGGAGACCCTTCTGCCATATTGGTCTTAGAGCTGACCATCAGCCCCATGGAAAATTCTGGAAACTGCTAGGCCTATTGGGCTACAGGGAGAAGAAGGTTGGTTCAGAATCAATGTGGCCTTTTGAGGTCCGGAGATGGACACTGAATTGTCTTTCCTGTATTCAGTTTCTCAGAGCCTATTTGGTCTCGTGGTGAAGGAACCAGGCTAGAGACTAGAAGGCAGTGAATTCTAGTTCCATCTCGGATATGAAAGCCGGCTGGGTGACTTTGGGCTAGTCTCTCTCTCTCAGCTCAGCCCACAAGGAAAACGAGGAGGAGGAAGGAGTATTAAATACGTTTGCCGGATTAAGCCAGGATGAAAATCTAATAAATAAATAAATCCCCCTGAAAGTATGACCACTATCTTACTTTTCTTCACCCTCTTTTGCAATGACTCAGATCTGTGATAACAGAGGATTTTTTAAAAAGTGGTTTCTTTTATAAATATGCTTTTGGGTTTGTTTTTTCCATGCTTTCTTTCAATGGAACAGCTGTTTCATCCTTGTTTTTTTCTTTTAAAAAAAACACAAATAACAAGGCAAAAGTTTTGTCTTATATTCCTTTTCAATGTTACGCAGGTAAATATAAATATTCAGGTTCTTTTAGCGATGTAAGAGATTTTTAAAAAACCAGGTATGCATATAAATACACACGCACGTTCGCGTACATTTTAAAAAACCCTTTGTTTTCTTATTTTCTTTAATGTGGTTGGATAGTTTATTCACATTTTGAATCCCTTGGTTTTCTGAACTCTCTTGTTGACATGGTTTTTATAAAAACCCCACTATTGGTTCAAGTCTTAATCCGTATGTTGTGCCACAAAATGTTGCAGGGGTTCGTTCATTGTATTTTTTACCGGAGGGGACGATAACAGGTATGTTTCAAAGAGTGAAGATTGTGCCCCCCTCGTTTTAAATGGGTCCCAAGCACCTTTATATATTTAAAAAAAAAAAGGCTCAGTGGTTCAATCGTGCAGCCATCTTGATTCCTTTTCTTCTTTTTTTAAAAACACAGACGCAATCCCACAATTGTTCCTGTTTCTGCCTTAGATCCCTTAAACGATAAAACTCAGTGAGGGGAAGAAAGAGAGAAAAGTAATGCCAACATTTTATCCTTAGCTGCTTTTACTGATGGATTACTACTACTGTTCTGTAGCCATGTTTAACAGAGAAAAAGTAAAAAAAAACCATGTGGAATAAATTTCAGGCGACAAAAATAAATAAACTGTAACTGAATATCTTTTAGGAGTGTTCACTGCCTTTTCTTTGTCGGCCCAGCCAACCTGTGGCAGTAGAAGTTGAAGAGGTTGAAGACGTTCCTGAGAAATTTTAAGCAAAAGCTAGTCTGGGTAAAAGGGTGGCTTAGACGCTGAGCTTATCGATCAGAAAGGTCAGCAGTTCAAATCCCTAGTGCCACATAACAGAGTGAGCTCCCTTTACTTGTCCCAGCTTCTTCCAACCTAGCAGTTCGAAAGGATGTAAAAAATGCAAGGAGAAAAATAGGGACCACCCTTAGTGGGGAGGTAACAGCGTTCTGTGGACCTTCGGCGTTTAGCCATGCCGGCCACATGACTACAGAGACGTCTTCGGACAGCACTGGCTCTTGGGCTTTGAAACAGAGATGAGCACCACCCCCTAGAGTCAGGAATGACTACCACATATGTGCGAGGGGAACTTTTACCTTTAAGTCGTCATGATGGAATGAAAAGCCTTCCATATGATTTCCTTTTGGAAACGGCCTATGAAAGCACTCTCACAGTTTTTACTACCTGTAGACAGACAAGAGGAATTAATCCCCAATAGCTTAAAGGTCACAGAAAGATGTGAAAAAGGCCCCAACTGGATGGGTTGGGCAATTCAAAGTGGCAGGCTGGAAGGTTATAATTTCAGATCGTCTATAGAACTTCAGAACTTCAGTAGTGCTGCTGGTGGTGAGCTAGCAAAGAATATCTAGGAATAGGAGCCATGGTTACACAGTGGTTAGAATGCAGTATTGCAGCAGTTCGATCCTGATTGGCTTGAGGTTGATTCAGCCTTCTATCCTTCTGAGGACCCAGATTGTTGGGGGCAAGAAGCTGAGTCTCTAAACCACTTAGAGAGGGCTGTAAAGCACTGTGAAGCAGTATATAAGTCTAAGGGCTATTGCTATCTTTCCAGAATTAAGTTGTTTCGGGAGTCTTTGGGAGCAAATGCCTCCAGTCAAACGGTGCAGAAGACATCTTAAGCTAGACATTGGCCATATGCACCTAATTCTAAATAACCAACTGAGATGGAGAATGGCAGATACGCTTGTCCTCCTTAAATGTTTTACCTTCCATTTGCATTTCCTCATTCTGTGAACCCAGATACCTGCAAAGCGGCACTCAGCCAAGCTGTTCCAACCATCCCCTGCTTTGCTCAATATCCCCTGCTTTTTTAATCCAGCAAACGTGCATGTAGGTGGCAGGCAAGAGCCCCCCCCCTGCAGTTACCACCACTGTACTTCTGCAAAGGCAGTGACATCAGCGTTGCCGTAGTGACTGCTTCTTCGCCGAGATGCTCAGCTGCCAAGGGGATGGTTGTGGAGGACAAGACAAGCATCGTCTCCTGGCACCAAAGAGTGCTTTCAGTGTTTGAGCAAGGACTTCTTGTTGTGGTTTGTTGGCTGCCAGACCCTCCAGCAGCTGAATCAGAGGAGGAAGAGGCGTGGGAATCAGGGTCAGCATCAGGGCAATCTGGGAGCTCCAAAGGGGAAGAAGGAATGGAGCTGGAAGAGAGAGAGAGAGAGAGGCGGAGTCTGGGACATCCATCAGCCCTCAGATGGAGAGTCAACAGCCCCCAGGTCTGGATGTGGCTGATGAGGAAGAGGAGGAACATCTGGGTCCGGTGCCTGACATGTAGATGTGCAGAAGGCAGAGAAGAGGAGAGCAGTGGAAATCTATGGGCTGGTCCTTGGGATATAAGAGTCACCACTGCTAGTGAAGCCCATCCTTAGCTCTGGGGATAAAAGGCAGATGGCAGAGATGAATAAATGTGGCAGACAACTATTCATCTTCCAGCCAGACAGACTTGTTAGCCTGCAAGAGAAACTTTTTGCCAGGGCTGCCGGCACTGCTAATAAAGGAATCTTTTGAGTTCACATCATAGGGTTTGTCGTGTTTCGGAAGCTAGGTCAGAATAGGAACCTTCCAGCGAGACTCTCTTCTGAATCTTCTCAAAGTATGTGTCAGACTCAAAGAATCAGGACCGTACATTAAGTTGCAGTTCATTAAGTTGCAGATTTATTGCTCGAGCTTATACACAAGAATCTAGTCAACTAAAGTTCAGTACTAAATTGGCATCAGAAAAAGGTCAATGGAATTCCAGAGGGATTGGACTTAAGACCATTTGTGGGAACATAACAATGCTAGGCTGATGGCTTGCTTAACTCCACCACAAGTCCCTTCCTATTCTCCTACAAAATGTGAGCTTTTGCTGAATTGCATTATTTGCAGATGTCCTTTACTCATTGGTAGAGGCTTGCTGGGCTCCAATTCCCACACAACTGTCAGGCCCCAAGA